CACACACGAGGACCAGCACATTGGGCGCACGAAGGCACTCCACCCCAAAAAGTGAAGGTGGGGTAGAACCCCCCCCCCCCCGTATCCCTTCATATGTCAGCTCCGGCAGTCACACCTTTTTCCAATTTTAACCCCCCTGCACCGTGCACTTGTCACGACCCCTCTCGGCACCTTCCTCTGCTTTGCCACTACATCCGCGTCTGTCACCTGTCCTGTCCAAGAAACTCTTCTTCGAACCGAAATTCAGATCGCGTACAGAGCACGCGGCGGCATGAATCTAAAAGGAAGAAGAACGCTTATCGAACAGACCGACACTTGTTCGTGTTGTTCGTGTCCCTCCTACTGCTGTATTGCCACTTACCCTACTACCGGGGAAACCAATATTCAATAACGGCTTCACTAGAAGAAACATCAGCACTATAAGTTACTTTACAAAACACTCGTCCCCATTACGAAAAAAAAAATAAAGCGCGAGGTGCATAGCCCAGCTGCCACCCTCGCTATCGGCAGCTGGCAGCAGCAGCCACAGCGGCAGCAGCGCAGGCCCAACAGGCACCGTCACCGGCCTCAGCAGAAACCAGCAGAGGACAAGAAGACAAAAGAAGATGTTTCCTTCGTGCGAACAGAACCCAAAGCGATCGGACGTGCGCATGCAGCAAGCGCTGCGAGCGCCGTCAACTCTCGTTCAACAGGCTGGCTCCCTGTGCTTCCTATTGGCCACGGCGACTGCTGTTGGAATCAAAGAAGAGGCCATCTCTCTCTGTCTCGCCGTCGACCAATCGCATCGAATCAAATCAGTGGAATCAAGCAACAGGCTGTCTATCTCCCCCACCTTCGGACAATCACATCGAATCGAATCGATCGAATCAAAATCAGCGGGAATGAAATCCATTCCGATCGACTCAGATCCATTACAAGTATCATCTACTGGAAGAAGTCCTCATGGTCAGCCTCGGCCGCTTGTTCCACGTCCTCCATGGAGGTGAAATTCAAGAAGTGTGACGGCCGGTGGAGCTCGTGGTAAAAGCCCTGCAAGGAGCGGGGAAAGCGGTGGACGGGGGGGTCGCATTTGCTACTTGCTAAGGTGTGTGTGGGGGGGGTGTCGTGAAGGAGCGGGTGGCAGCGAGACCCGCACGCCGTGAGCATGCGTGGATGGTGGCATCGCTGTCTCATCCAAGCTGGAAAGCAACAAAAATAAATCCATCCACGATACACTGTCCATGCGTTCGCCCTTGGGTTTCTTTCCGGAATGGCAATGGCAACAAAGAGACAAGGTAACCCGCAACAAATATCTTCGGCTTATTCCATCCAAAAAAATGAAAATTAGGTGGCACACAGGTACAACACACACTTCACGTTCGGGCTTCCTTCAGCACAACAAGCGAACCACCTCAGAAAGGGTACAGACTACCTGACACCTTTTGCCACACAAAGAAGGTGGAAAAAACATAGCGTACGCGTTAAACACGCCAAACACAACCCACCTTTACATGCACACACAAGACACCCATGTTAAGCACTAAGTTCACAGGCTGCAAGAACTGCTCCTTCTTTCCTCCAAAAACAACGCAACACAGGCAGCACGAAAAATTTCTCCATACATCAGTGCACGCACAAACACAAAAGGCGATCAGCCAGCTCCAGCGACCAAAAACAAAAACAAACCTTGGGGTTGTCGAGCTTGAGCGCGTACTTCATGCCGACCGAGTGGCTGACGCCCATGAAGTTGTAGTTCCAGCGGTCATCCTCCGGCACCATGAAGAATCCGAGGAACCGGTCCGACAGCAGCATTTGAACCTGACACAAGGCAAGGCAACACAAAAGAAGGGAGGGATGTTTCTTCGACTTAAAACGTGTATAATCTTCTAAATCTTGGTGTTAGGGCGGACAAAAAATGAGACACTTTTTCGTGGGGGGAGGTTGCTCTTACAGTTTGTTCTACTTGTAATTCTGATTTGTACTGTATTTTCATCCTCGCTTCCGAAGCGCAGCACTACTGTACCGTGTGAGCGAGGCCCATCTAGCCGCAGAAACTGTCAAAACCACACCGGTTGGTTCAAAAGCCATGCACGTATCTAGGCAGCTATCGCGGGACGCACATCCCACCATGACCCCGCAGCAGCAGCACTACTGAAAAGGTGTCAAAGTTACACCGGTTGGTTAACCCGTTATCGTATCGCGGGATATGGACATGGACATGGATATGGATATGGACATACTCAGATACTGATATGGATATGATACGCACCTTCTCGTAGTGAGTCGGCGCGTACCCCTGCGCCCCCGCGGTGGCGTCCCTGTGCGCCTTGCCCCACTCGAAGCCCTGCGGGGTGAGCTTGTAGGCGGTCAGGCTGCAGGAACCCGGCGTGAAGCTGCACGTGATCACGATCGTCTTCTCTCCGTCCCACGTCTTGTTGTCCGCCATGATCCTGACGTAGACAAAAAACAAATCCCAAAAACAAAAGGATAACTCTTAGCAAATAGACATAAACACACAGCAAGACACCCGTTCGAGATACGTATATAACCACAGCAGCGAAAGGGGATGTGTTATTGTATGCATATCATGTTTCTGGGCATACAGCAGTCGTACCTCTTTCACTATTCTACCCTAAAATTGTGTTTAATCGTGTCGGAATATTTCACAGTCAGTTGCACCTCGAGTGAACCAACGCATTCGTCCCGTAGCTGACTTGGGTCGTTCTCTTCCGCTTCGTTACCCTTTGTCGTCCCACCCTCTCTCCTCACACCATACGTACGTGTACTGTACCTCGTGTGACCCACGATCCTCTTCTGTAGCCCGGGCTTGTTTCGCACCCTCTTCCACTACTACTACTGTACCCTCTCTTGCCCCACCGTACGTACCTTGAGTGCACCACGACGTCCTGCGGCGGCAGCTGTGGCAGCTCGTTGGGCTGCGTGTGCAGCCATCCCAGCGGCTCGAGACCCTCCAGGTAGTCGTGGTCCGGCAGCTGGTGGGGAAGCGTCACCGATTGGTGGTTTCCAACCTGGACAAGCGGGAAAGTAAAAAAAACGAGAGCAAGTTCTGTGTTACGACAAGCGGGTTGAGTGCACAGACACGGACGAAACTGTGTCCCGTTCTGGGCAGTGATGGCGTTTCCGCCCTCCACCAGCACCACACAAAACACAGCAGTCTCAAAAACCAAAAACTGGCAACACTTCTACACGCATAGCCATGCCAAAACGGGCCTCCGGCACACAAAAACAGCAGCAGCAACCGTGTCGGTTTCCTCACCCTTTTTCTAGCAATACATACACACAAACGGAAGGGCAAAACAACACTGCAAACAAACAACACCGTCGGACGACCCAAGACTGCAACCGAGCAGCGCAACCCTGATACTGCTGTAAATACCACCGAAGGCGTTCTATCGTCAGCAGTAACATTGGGCGCCTCGCGCTACCCACTCCGACTCTTCTTTATTAGTTTTTTTAATCTGATTCTTTAATGAATATTTGTTCTTTGTTCACCTGCGGTACCACCGCGATGCAGCGGATCTCCTTGACCCTGGGGTTGTCGGGAGGAGACACCCCGTACAGATACCCCGCGATCTGCGTCCTGAGGTCGGACACCGTGATGAACTGAGGAGGCAGGGCAGGGGAGGCGTCGACGGCAACAGGGTGGGCATTGGGTGGCATCGAGCACCGGGGGGAAGGACGTTGAGGTGAACCGAAGTCAGCAGACGTTGGTCACAACTTTTATGCATAAGATGGCACAAAATGTGAAAATACTATGCTAATCTAATGCGCACGACAGAGGAGAGCAGTACAGAACGGACGGCACGATCGACAGATCGAGGAAGACGAGATGGGGGCGCGACAGATAGCAAGAAGCAGCAGCATACTACATTAGTACCGTTGAAAAGAACAGACCAACCTCCTTCGACAGGACGGCATCAAGAATCAGAATAAAAGAAAAAAAAAATCATCTCTAAGAAAAAAACACGTACCCTCTGCTTGTATTCTATCCACTCTTGGTGGCCCCTCACCTTCGACAGCACGTTCTTAGGCAGGACGTACGTCAAACCCGCCTCCCGGAGGTCGTCCGTGTCGATGTAGATGTGGTGCGTCCGCAAGTGCAGGTTGGTCGCCGAGATGGCTCGCACCTGACAGACCCATCCATCGATCCACATCGTGCGATCGTGGGTGAGAATGCGAAGCAAGCAGAAAAAGGCACATGGCGGTGCGAAGGACGTTTTCGAGTGTGGAGTGCAGGCCACCAGAGCTTGGTGAGAGCGCCGTGGCTCGTTCCGGCGTTGGTACTTGTAAGCTTGTGCAATCGACCTGTACGACGAACGTTTACGGTGTACACTTGCTTGTTCTCCAAGCCAGCGCAGCGCACAGTCAATCCAGCACAACAACAACAACAAAAACAACCACCACAACGCAACATCAAAAACAACCACCACAACAACAACAACCACCACCACAACGC